AAAAGACGAAGAAGCAGGGGTACTGATGCAATTTTCCACCGATCCCGATTTCCCGTAATTGGCCCAATCTTCCCAGCTTAGGACCCCTCATTGCAACCGCGCAGAAACTCGCCCGTTACAGAAAGTGGTTCGTCGCATATGTGACGCCCAGGGGGTTCCAATATTAGCAAGCTCCTGCTTGCTTGTTGACACGTGTCGATTTCTCTAATCGATCGACACGCGGAGCACTTCACTTTATGCCACTTACTGTTCGATTGTGTATGGACGTCATCCAACGTGGCAACTCTACTCTTGTACTAGTTCCTCAGATTGGGCTCTTCGACGATCCAAGGACGAGATCTTTCTCGTGCCATCGCCGTGACACGTGCCATCAACCATGCATCAGTGCAAACAGGGGGGGGGTAGACCCTGGACCTTAGACGTTTCCGGGAAATGGTAGTCGGATCATCGAGGGTGGAGGTGGCGGATGGTTCAGGGGGAGAGGGGGCATGAAGCGATTAATTGCGGGAGAGGMGAAATTAGGAAGGGTAGCGTAGTGGAAGGAGCKATGGATGTGGGGGAAACGAGGGACCTCATGAAGATGACGAAAGGCGGTAATATAGTCGGGGTAGTTGGTGGAGAGGGTCYGTCGCAGGGCGGCGCAAAAATCTTCATRATTTTCGCAGGCGGGAATAGTTCCAGACACAATACAGTATATTTSTACGTGGTTATATTCCCGCCAGTCTGCGCTAAACAGGAGCAAATGAAGGAGAAAGGAGTCAACCACAGAGCGAGTAGTGACGTGTGGATAGACGGAGACTAGAAGGCGGGTAGCGTAGAGATGGTAGAAAACATGATGAGGGAAAGGACACCAACATCGGGGAACGGGRGTCTATGGGGAAGGCGGGTGAGCATGAGGTAGTCACGGGGTCGGCGAGAGATAGACCRGGGATGAAGCTCRAACGCCGAGATCTTGATGTAGACGAAGGAAGGATTGGGTCGCGGAACCGGAGGGAGATGGCGATTCACTTCTTCTTCTTCTTCTGCCGCGTGATCCCTCCATTGTGGTTCCATCGTCKTCCTCCTCTGGCGGCTCTGGATCACGCCACGGGTCCCCGATCGACGGATCGATAGAGGATACGTCTGTTGCGGGTCGCTTTCCCTCCGTGGTCTCCTGGCGCTTCCGTTTCCTCCGCTCTCGTGCTCGTTCTCACGCCGCGTTGCGTACTTCAGCCTCGAATCCTTTGCACTCCAATCCTGATAGCCCGCTTCCTTCTTCTTCTTCTGATTCCACCCCTTCGTCCTTTACCTGCGGCTGATTTGATTCGTCGGCTATCCCCGTCTCTCTCTCCGGTACCTAGTCCGGATCRTCCCGTTCCTCACTTGATGGCTCTTTTTCTTCCTCTTCTTCGTCTGCTCCCCTTATCTCCTCGTCCTGCGCGATGTTTTGTCTCGCAAACGGGTCCCAAAACGTGAGATCGGTAACGTCGWTYTCCAAGTAGAGCGCCTGGGAGGAATARAGATAATTGTCCTCGTCGATTTTCGTGCACGTGGACCACACAAGGTGCGGTTCGAGGTTCGAGTCAGCACGTGGGTGCCAGGCTGCTTGTCACTGCGCGACAAGATGTCCAGGGGCAGATCGTCTGCCAGCTGAGTCAAAAACACCAGCAACTCGTCTGTGATCAAGGTGAGATTGCCCTCCTCCACCTTCCCGAACAGGAATCCCTGCAGGTCGCCCTGCTTCGCTGTCCTCCAGGCTTGGATGATCAGAAACTCCACGCTGTCTTCTGGGTGTTCCGGCCCTTCTCCAAATGGGGCCGCCGCTGGCCAGCGGAACTCTATCTCCTGTTGGCAGAAAGCGAGCTCGATATAGCTTTCCCACCACGCGCCCCACTTCTCCTCGCTCAATAGCGGCGCACTGTTCTCCTTAACACGGTAGGAGAGGGTGGGAGCCCGCGCAGCGCAGACTGCCAAAGGGTGGGGATGCTGGAGGGAAGGCCGAAAAAGGAGATGCGATGAAGACTCATTGGGGCGGCTCGAAGGGACGAAGCTCCGGAAGCACAATCGCGGGCGAACTTCGAGACGAGCGGAGCTGGAGGTCCGTGTCATGCGCCGGTATGATGGTGTCTCCTCGTCGAGCCTGAAGATTTGTCCACGCCGTCCTCACTTCCCCAGCCCAAGTGCGCAACGTCCGATAGATGTCGGAGTGATTCGCCRACGGAATTGCTGTGATATCCCCCGTAAAGACGACAACGACAGCGATATGGCTAATCCCGGGAGGGGATAGCCGTCGAAAGGTCGAGATCTCGGCCAGAACGCGCGTAGTTGCTTCTTCGACGAATTGGAACTCTKCCRCCRCGTAGATCRTYGATGTACTGAAGAAAGCCGCAAACCGGAGGAGATCCGAGCAGAGATGGGGCCGCTGCACCTGCCGTATGACACTGATTCGCCCCCGCGGAGTAAGAAGCCGCGCGCCGATCACTTGCTCTGTCGCAAAGCTCATGGCGATGGTGTCGGGGTAAGAGAGAGAGAACAGGATGGGGGCGGAGAGATAGGAGAGAGATAGTCGTCGCCTTCTCTATCGGAGGAGGAGGAATCGGATGGATGCGAAGATGGAGAAGGAGGAAGGGGACGTAGGTAGGATACATGGCGGATGATTAGTCGAGTCGATCGGCTGCCGGTGACCTCGGGCGCAAGTCGCACGGTGTTCACCGTTCGGTCCGAGTTCGATCACGCGAAATCGCCCGAAGAATCGTGGCGCTAGCTTACCCTGGCGAGCACATTTCCTCACATGCACCACGTCCCCCAATTTATACTGGGGCCGTGGACCCGCATACCCATTTCGGGCCTCGTAGCTCCGGACCTGCCGGCCTTGGGCTAGTTCGGTCATTTTCTGTCGTTTTCAGGCTAGCCTGGGCAKTGACCGTTCCATTWGCTCTAGGTGCCGTTTGGCCTTGTCCTTAGCYGTGGCCCTGGTGGGCCGTYGGTTCAATGTAGACTCGTCGGGGAGGCTTGGTATTGAAACRYAAGCGAYGCTATTGGTCCTTACTTGGAAGGGGCTTAGCCCCGTCGATTCGTGAGGCGTTCCGCGATGGACCGCCAGGATGTGATCGACGATATCGGGCCAGGGCCTCGGATCCCCTGCCGCGATGTTTCGTCGCAATGCTGTCTTTATCACCCGGTTAGCRTTTTCGACCAGCCCATTGGATTGTGACATGTGGGGTGCAGTGTTCCTTATGGCGACGCMATGTATGACCAGATTCTTTAACACTTCTCCCCTGAATTCAGCCCCGTTGTCGGTTAGGATTTCTTCCGTATCCTGATGCATCCCGAGGAAACGGTTGACATATCGCACGATTTCCATGGCTTGCCTCGTGCGACAAGGATACGCTTCGATCCATTTCGAGAAATGGTCGACAAATACCTATAGGACTGAATATTCGCAACTATTAGGGCCAGGGGGCACCACTATGTCGGTAGTGTCCATGCTCACTCTTTGAAATGGTCGTTCAACAACCGTGGGTACTATCGATCTTGGTGGTTGAATCAGCGCCTTATCAGCGGCGCAGACTTGACAGTTGGCGACAATGTATTTCACATCGTCGCGGATATTGGACCAGTACCACTCATTTTTGTCGATAGTGGATTCCGTGATTCGCACAACAAAATTAGCCGCAGTTTCCTCGTGAGTTGTCTTAACCCAGTCATACCGCATGAACGGATGCGGAATCCCCAATCCAAATCTCACTGCTGTCCGTTTTTCGTTTTTCTAATCTCCCTTCTATCCATCGATAATCCCGAGCCCTTTCGTTGGCCCTCCTCCGGTCTTCCTTGGTAAAATCCTGGAGGGGGTTACCTACTAGGGTGGCAATTAAGGCAATATCTGTCCATACTTCGACCCTTCTAAACTTTCGGGTCTTTTCCAATCCTTCTGACGTGGCATACAAAAAACGAGCCTCGGTCGGAATTTTGTCGGTCTGGCACAAAGGGCACAACCATGGTTTATTATCATTTCTGTACTGGATGCACGGGCCATGGGCTCGTGCGACACATTGTCGGCAATCTATCCAATCCGCATATCCCTCCCCGTTAGGACGCATGGAGACTGAATAGATGCAGGAGATAGCTTCGCAAAAATAGCAAAATTTGTCAGGCAGGGAGAGGAAAAACGAGGAGGAAGGGGGAGAAAGAGGGGTAGCGGGGTTACCTCCATCACCCATCGCCACCGTTTTGCTTCTTGCCACGTGGGAGAACGGCCACTTGTCCGTATTTCGGCTCGTTGGTCAAGTCCGGTTCTTTTCACGGTGTAATTTCCTCACCCTTTGGTACCTTGGCAGGTCGATGCAGACGTGTCAGCCCGTCCGCGTTGCCGTGTCGCTCTGTCTTTCGATGAACGATATCGAAGTCGTATTCTTGTAGTCGCACCGCCCAACGGCCAATCATACCCATGTAGTTGGTGAGCTTCTTCAGCGCCAGCAGAGGCTCGTGATCCGTTACAAGGCGAAACTTCTGTCCGTAGAGATACGGACGGAAGTGTTGGATTCCCCAAACTACCGCATAACACTCACCCTGAGGTGCGGAGTCCTTTCTTCGTTCGTCCGGTACGGTTCGTGACGCATACTCGATGACGTGTTCGCGGCCATCGTTCCCCTTCTGTGCTAGAATAGCGGAAATAACTTCCGGTTGCCAGTCCGTGATGAGAATGAACTGCTTCGAGAGGTCCGGTCGAATCAGAATAGGGGTCGTTGCCAGAGCGTCTTTGAGGGTTGCAAAGGCCTGCTCGCACTCCGCGTCCCAATTGAGAGGCTGGTCCTTTCGTAACAGATTCGTTAGCGGTCGTGCAATCGCGGCAAAGCCCTTGATGAAGCGCCGGTAATACGACGCCAGCCCCAAGAAGGCTCGAACCTGCGTTTGTGACGTGGGAACCGGGGCTTCCTTCACCGCCGCAACTTTTCTCGAGACCGGTCGCAATCCTCCACGTGTCACGACGTAGCCCAAGAACGAAATTTCCGAGAGGAAAAACTCGCTTTTCTCGAGTGCAATCTTGAACCCAGCATCTCTAAGTGCGCCCAATGTCCATTCGATATGTTGCGCGTGCCTGTGATAGGTTTCCGAATAGACCAGGATGTCGTCCATGTACACGATCACGCAGAAGTTAATCATCCCTTGCGTCAGCCGTGTCTTGTTGACAAAATTATGGAACGTCATGTTCATCGCTCGCTGAAACGTGGCAGGCACATTGCAAATCCCCATCGGACACCGAACCCACTGCCACATGCCCTCAAGCAACACAAAGGCCGTTTTCGGCCGATCATCTTCCCTTACCAGAATATGATGGAAGCCATGTCGAATATCAAACTTGCTGAAAAAATTAGCGCATCCAATCGCATCCAACAGATCGTCAATCCGGGGGAGGGGACACACATCTTTGATCGTGATTTCATTCAGCTTACGATAATCGATGCAAATGCGAATCGCCTCATTTTTCTTCGGCACTAATACTACAGGAAAGGACCAAGGTCCGGTAGCGGGTTCAATCCAACCGCTGGCTTCGAACTCCCGAATTGGTTCGAGAGCCTTTTTGCGTTCAATCAAGGAATATCGATAAGGTTTGCAACGAATCGGGGAGTGATTTCCTATCCGAATTTCATGTTGGATTACTAACAACAACCTAATGTCAGTGTCTGCCACACTAATCGCTCCTTGATATTCTGTTCGAATATCCGCAATTACCTGGTGGATTTCATCCGACACGTACGGTGGAACGTGCAGTTCGAAAAGTTGGTCCCAGATCCGAACGTCAACCTGTTTCGTGCTTGTGTGCTTTGCCGAGTCGGGTGGGGGCGCCGAGATGAATGAATGATCCGATTGCCAGGAGAACACCGTGGTCATCATCTGGGCATCTTCTTCCTGGATTGCCATGTGTCCCTCCAGGGTAATTCCGTCACAAACATCCTGCCACGGGACTTCCTTAGTCGCGATCTTTATCCCCAACCCGTTTGTTTCTGCTTCGAAATGCCTAGGGGGTTCCAGAGAGCTTGTTTCCGCCCCCAAGCGTAACAATCTCACTTCTTTAGCCGATGTTAATAAAGACTTAGGCAGTTTCGTAATGTCGCAATAATGCCTTTTGTCGCTATACCTGGCAAGGAGAGGGGTGATCCCTTCCTACAGAGTTTGAGGGGGTTCCAAAGAGTCGCCCATCCTCGAAATCTGCACGAGGGGCTCTCCCAAGATCATCGCCTTGGTCCTTTGAATTTTTCTGCTGGTCAGTTGCATCGTTCTCGCTATCGTTTTTGGCGGTGGGTAGTAAACGCGTTGTCGTTCTAATTTCAAGATCTCCGGATCATCTTCGTCACTTCTTTCCGCATCATCAGATGATTTTCCTTATGCGGCTTCGTCCCAGGAGGTCATGCGGAGAGTCCCTGCCATCATCGGCGAAACCCGCAAAACCGCGTTAATAATAGTGCGAAAGGTCAATCGCATGGGCACAGCGTAGGGTTTTCCTCCTGTATTTCGGAGGACGATCGATCGCCGTTCGAAATCCAGGTTTGCTCGTAACGCCATAAGAGCGAGAAGTCCGAAAAGAACGTCGTACGTATTAACATCTAGTACTACGACATCCCCAAGCGCGTGTACTTTTCCTATTCGGAAGGGAACATTGGTCATTCTCCCCTCAGTTTTAATCTTTTCCTCATCTGCCGGAACGAGCTGATCTTTCTCGGTGAGCATGATCAGATCGTATTTCCTGCCTGCTCGTTCGACCACTCTCAGTGAAATAGCCAACACAGCTGCTCTTGAGTCTATAATGGCGTTGTAAGGAATTCCCCAAATTTCTATATCGCGCCCTGCGGATTTCCACGGAATGGGTTTAATCCGTAGGAAATGATCGTCTTTCTAAATTAATCCTATCCGTATTGGATCCGGAGCGCTTATTGGGTTTTCTTCCGGCGCGGGGCCTTTGGCTTTTACGTTCGGTGCTCGAGCGAGAGCGAATCGCTTTCGATTCGCTTTACAGTGCTGTAACATTCGCTCGTTGGCTTGCTCGGAGATCGAGAGTAGATGACCGATCCGAAGGGGAATGCGATGGTCCAAGGCTTGGACAATGTTTAATACATCGATCTCCCCCGTGACGAAGGTGGGTCCTCCTGACTCCATTTCTCCCAGGGACGGTCGCTACTCCGCCACCTCTTTTGGTTCTGATGCTGGTCTAATTGTTCCGATCATTGCAAGTCCAGGATATCCCAGCGATACGTACTGATCTAGCGGAATTATCTCGGCGGCCTCTTCCGTGGTGGCCAGAGCACTTCCCCCACCCTCTACTTCTTCCATCAAGGCCCCAACTCGCTCAGGTCCGTCGGCGATGGGGGCCGCAGCCATAGGTGCGACCCCGATCCGCTGTTGTGGGGATCGGTGGGGGCAATCACGGGCTAGATGTCATGGCTGATGACAGGCATAACAGACATTCAGATTATTTGCGACTCCTCCGAGCGCCGGGGCTGGGGGTAATCCTTGCTGCATCGGAGGGGCGGGTACCGCAATGGGTCACATGTTCCTCATCATGGCTTCCAGCCGAGCATTGTGCTCTCGCTGCTCCATTTTACTTTCTTGGATCAAACTGATCAAGGTTTTAGTTTGTTCAAAAATGACCGCTGATTCGTTTGATCGTACAGGAGCCTCTACCAGTGACGGTGGTAACGCCCTGACGGGCGGGGGCATCATAGGAGCAGAGATGCTCGGAGTTTCGCTTAGGATTACTCGTTTGGGGCCTATCTGTTCCATATAGGTGACAGGTCCTGATACAAACCCCATGTTTTCAAATTTGTTCTGTAACGCAGCCAGCTCCGCTCTTGCTCGAGCGAGCTCGGTCGAATCTCCGTCTCTAGGGTAATCTTCTCCTTCCAGGAAGTTCGCCGCGAACTTCCGTTCCATTTCTTCCGCAGCAGCCATAATTTGTTGTAGCGTATGGGTGATGGGGGAAAACTGCTTCCGCAACTTAGCCCTTATTGTTCGACTGCGGAGTCCGTCAATGAACCGGTCTCTCCCTACTTGCTCACCTCGCTCAGTTTTTACAAACATTCGGTAGAACCGGTTTCGATATTCCGCAACGGATTCGAGCGTTTTTTACACTTGGTCCTTGATCATGTACAGCGCTTGCTGAGGGTGAACATAATCAAATCGATTGATGAAATCCCGTTCGAATGTCGGGAGATCCACCCATACATAGGTACTATACTAATGATGAGCGTCTCCTCCCATTCGAGTCGGAATGTTGATCTGTGCTTCGTGATCATCGTGCTGCTCTGCTCTAAGCGTGGTCAGCCATGCTCCTGCGAGATGGTGCGCTGGGTCAAATAGATAGAGATCTGGTGGCGACATGGGAGCTCGTGCACGTGGGGCAGGTTGATTAGGTGGATTAGCATTTTGTTGCGGAACCGGATTTTGCACGTTGGCAGCCATATTGGCTGCTCGTCGGTTAGCCGATCTGCTTCTGGTGACGATAGGGTCGCGTCTATACGCATTCCGAGGGCGAGGTCGCCCACGGTTAGCCAGGTCGATAATTAACGCGCTATCAATCCTAAGACCCTAGCCACGTGTCGGGCTCCGATACCAACCTCACGCCCAGCGCGACTTTCTGATCGGAGTGGGATGTGGGCCTGGAAGTGCGAAAAGGGGTGTGCCAAGGATTTTTGGGGAAAGTGGGGGAGTCTTAAGGGTAGGAATGCAATTAGGCGAGTGTGCGCAAGGGACTCACAGTCCGATGGGGCCGGGGCACTGTGGGCGACGGTTTATGGGGAAATCCCTCCGTGGCAGAGGTGGTCCTGAAAAGTTAGGCCGTCGGGGACCGCCACGTGGCGCAGGCCGCCGCACACGTGGGTTGGGCCTTCGGAATTCCGGAGTTCTCTGTTCRCCGCTACGTCGGCAGTTTACGCAAAACATATTGGGCCAATAAGGGGCTATGGTTGGCAATGGAACAACACTGAGTTGATGATACGGGAGAAGAAGGCGGAAAGGAGGGARACTTGTGGTGATGACAACAAATCCCGGGTGGGTGAAGTAGTAGGTGTGGTCGGGAGAAGGGAAATCGGAGCACCGAGGGTCGCTATAGGTGGCGCAGTGGAATTCCCGCGGACATAGCCGATTCTCCGTGTGACAGGGGTATCGTGTCCTTATGAGCTCGTTTATCATAGGGGTGAAATAGTCCGTGTCGTAGGACGAGTCCGAGCTCCAAGATCGCGTCATGGTATCATCGTCGATGGGATAGCTCGGGTCGGGATATCGTCACCGTGCACGAGCACGTGCAGGACAGGCAGACTCAGGGACGCCTCAGCGTGCTCGTGTGGGATGATGGTTCCGCAGCGAATCCCTCTTGGGTGGGCGAATCGTCGCATGGGAATGCGTGTAGGGGCGCGACTTGGATCGCGTTTACACGTGTTTTCRCGCGTCGTTCGCGGGGCCAGGCTTCTGATCGTCTAATCGCTTCGGGAGTTTCGATTGTGCCAGATGCAATCATTTCACAACCCTCATCGGGAGATAAGTAAAAACGAGAACAAAATCGATATCGGGGTCAGACTCTTATCCATCTACAGCGGYATCAGGTGTGGGCAAAGGTTCGACACAAACAAAAGGCAAGGATAGGGATTCTCAACAAAAAGATAGACAGGCAGACATAACACCCATACATCCATACATCCGACAATCATATACATAATCCAATCGGGACGGACATCGCACAGACAAGTGTGAGCAAAAACCCAAGCCCCGATTTTCAGGAAGCCGAAACGAAAATAAGAACRGGCAAACCGCCCGGAGCCGCAATCAAAATGTATGTACACAGGTGAAGAGGGGGAAGAGACAAAGAAACAGCAAATCCACGTCCATCRATCTCARCTCTCTTCTTCTCTCTCTCTCTCCGATGCGGACAGTCCGTCGTCACGCACCAACCCACTAAGTTGTCACCCCGCTTAGTCCTCCCGCACCCGTCGGATTCGCCCGTGCCCACTGTCCGTCGTGGCCCACGTCAATCCTGCGTGTTCAGCACCAGCCCGTCGGGTCGCCCAACTCCTACTCTACTAACCTCTTACTTCGCTCGTGTGCCGACCCTTCCTGATCGTGCAACCCCGAGCTTCCAACCACGGGTTAAGAGAGCTGACTAATCGCGCARCCGAAATTTATAGTRTGCATGCATGCGCGAAGAACACGGAATTATCAAGACTTAGAGTGAAGATTAGAGGGGGAGCGCCTRCGTTCTGCATGATYGGCCGCGGCGTGGGGGACGTACCCTTCTCCAYGCATCGGTYCGAGCATGCAAGCCRCYGGCTTACAAAATTTCAGCAAAAGAAAGAGGGGGGGGGCGGGAGAGACGAAGTGCAAGAAAAAAGATACAGTTACAATGGCGCCCGCCCAAAATTACAGTTACACACAMGATTAAGGGCGCYCTCTAATCAGAGTACCGTTACAGCCGCATGAAGAAGCGCGTAGACAAAAGGCGMYGCGCGGCAGGAAAAGTCCTAATTACCGAATTCCTAAATTCCTATCTAATGCRAAAAAGMAAAAARCAYAAATTCCAGAAGGAAAGTCCAAAATTCYGAGAGCCATTGGGGCTYGAAAAAATTCGAAAAAGATTCAAAAGGAAATTCAAAAAAAGAAMGAAACAATTTCCCGCGCGATGTCCGCGCCCAAAAGATCGAAACCGAAACGAAAGAAACGACGTCAACATTTATTAATCGCGCGCGCGGTGGCGCGCTAGACATCCATCCGACCAATCACTCAACCGGCCGTCCCCGGACACACCCAGCCCCGAAGAAGCGACGAAAAAGACGAAGAAGCAGGGGTACTGATGCAATTTTCCACCGATCCCGATCTCCCGTAATTGGCCCAATCTTCCCAGCTTAGGACCCCTCGTTGCAACCGCGCAGAAACTCGCGTGTTACAGAAA